AAAAAAAATATAAATTTTTAAAAATCGACCTACGCGGATATAAAGCTCATAAAAGACCATGCAACTTTTATTCGAAAGATTTTTTGATACCTCTTACAGTTTTGACGATATTTAGTCAAAATCAAAAAAACCGTTTTAGCTTGTAGGGGTTGTTTCAACCCTAAACGTGCGAGAAAGCACTTGAGTCCCTTTCCTTGTGAGTCAATTTTCTTTTTAAAAATTTTTTAGTAATCTCCGACCTATTTCTTTTTCTATTTGCAAGTTAGATGATCCTTGGCTTCACATAAGTTTAATTATGAAAAAATGTACTATCCATGTCAAAATAAAAGGTATTTATACATAGTTAATTTTCTAAAATCTGTTGTTCGTTAATTTCGTGATTGGAGAACGTTCTTAACTCGTTTTGTTCGTTTTCACATTAACAAGATGCGTTACCTAAATTATTCTGACTATCTTGTCAACGTTTTCCGACTAACGACGACATATTAATTTGTTACACTGAAGATGGCCACGTCTTTTAGGCCGAAACGTCTGTTTTTGTAATTATTTTATAATAAAAGGAAAATTTGAGCAATTATAACTAGCTCCTGCTCTATCAGCTTGTAGTTTTCAAGAATATTATTTTAATAAGAAAAAGAGCTATATATTTATACTATTGTATTTTTAAAAACTATTAGTCTGAATATAATAAAAACCTATAAAATAAGTTTTTTTGATATTTTTTACATTTATTATTACGTCAATAAAAAACCTGGTATATATAATATGATATCATTACAAAATTCCAAATATTATATTTATACATTAAAATGTAATAAAATCAGAGAATTAAAGATTATTAACATTTTGAGAAAGACGAGAGAATTCCACTGATATAGCTTTTGGTAAATCGCTTCCGACTTGAGAATCAAAATATTCTTTCAAATCTTTAACTTCTTTTTGCCAAAAAATTTTTGGCAATCTGAACAATTCTGTCATGTTCACTTCACTATTGAGATTTTCCAAATTGATAGATCCTGGTTTTGGCAATAATCCAATAGCTGAATCTTCGGCAATATCTTCGCCGTCGATTCTTCGAAGAATCCAATCAAGGATACGAGAATTTTCACCAAATCCTGGCCATAAAAATTTTCCGTCCAAATTTTTTCTAAACCAATTTACATGAAATATCGCTGGCAGTTTGGCGTTCTTCACATGTTCCATACTTAACCAGTGAGCGAGATAGTGTCCAAAGTTATATCCAAAAAAAGGTCTCATTGCAAACGGATCGTGCATAATTATTTTATCCTGCAAAATACATAGATTTTAGTTAAACTAAATTATTGTTTTTAATTGTATAAAGCATATTTTAAGTTCATTTATATTTAATTACAAAGATTCTACTACAAGTTCTACTACAAGTAATACAATAGGTATCATATATGTCATTAATATACAGGATGTCTCGTAATTCCTGAATCAAAATATAGTAGAAAAGTTTTCAGAAAGAAAATAAAAAGTTTGATAAATATAAAGTCACATAAGGTTAACCCCTTCAAAAGTCAATGACCTTGACGTACGTTGTCAAGGACATATCCCCGAGTAATAATCAAAAGGTTTTAACCATCGCTCGTTATTTGTTAAAAAGTTATTCATAAAAAATATGACCACACAAACGACTGTTAAAAACCAACATTTTTCTTATTTATTATTTGTAATATACAATATTAGATATTTTTGTTATTAATATGACATGTTATAAATATTATTCAGTATTTTCGTGGAAAGTTGCAAACCCATGTAAAACCTCGCTTCGCGTGGAAAGTGTATGTGTGGAGGCAATATGTTCCGTTCCCTCTCCTACGGGGGGCCCCACTACAAAAATACTAGACACATGAGTTTGGATTGAATCTCGCTTTGCGTGGAAAATTGTGAACCCATGTGGAATCTCGCTTCGCGTGAAAAGTGTACGATAATGTATTTAATAAATTTTTTGTTAATAACTTTTTAATAAACAACGAGTGACAATCAACGGCTAAAACGTTTTGATTGTTATTCGGGGATATGTCCTTGACAACATATGTCAAGGTCATTGACTTTTGAAGGGATTGACCTTATGTGAATATTTACCAAAAGTTTTTACAATTTTATATTTTATTGTGTATGATGATAACAATCAATCAATTTTTGACCACAAATATATTATAGATTTAAAATTCTAACATCAAATTAATTATATATATACCTATATAAAATTATTTATACATGGTGTGACAATTAAGTTTTTGGATTGAAGCTATGAACAACACACAAAAAAGATCAAAAATATTTATTAATGCTGTTACGTCCTGATCAGACTCCACAATTCTTTTCTTTTTGAATAAGGTACGACATTAAATATCAGACCTAGTAAACGCGGGACCAACAAAATTTTTAAAAGAATATTTTAACACCGGAGCTGCTTTTCTCACGGGACATTACGAGCTCGAGCCTTCTCACAGAGAAAAGTAGCAGGTGGCATCAATATTTCAGACAATCTTGGCTACTCAGTATGCCTATCGGCACCAAGAAAGTCGTAAAAGTCGAAACTCTGCTGTAGCTGGAGTCTTCAGCCGATTCCAGATCTTTAAAAGTAAGAGATAAAACTGGCACCAGCTAGCCCATACCCATGGATTCCAACTACGAGAACCCTATCTAATAGATAGGGTTGTACTGGGTAATGATCGGGCAATGACCATAGTCGCACGCCGAGAAGGCGTGATACTTGACACGGCGTATGTGTTCAGTAGGTCTGGGAAACCGAGATGCATTAGCTATACTCACCACGCGACTTCAGGGGCACGCGACGATCATAAACTGTCAAATTTATTAGATCAGTGACCCAAGATTCTATGAACTTGTATACATCGATTCTCAACCCTCCAATCAGAAAGCCTGGGCAAGCACCTCTATAGACCACTCATCGTTTTATCTTATGGTTTAAAGACTACGCCCACCTAGATCTTAAGGCACTGAGATGCACCCCACCAATGCTAATTAATACCAACCGGATTACGTCACATCAAAAACCCACCCTCATCGTATATGGCCCCGAAACGACGTTATTTCTTATTCGTTAGGGCCCCTTTTTTCCTCTCCCCATCACAAGTAATATAATTACCTAAACACTAATCCTATTAGTTAAAAGTGACGCCATCCTCTCCCGCATTAAAAATTTTCTTGTAAAACTAATTCTTATTTGACCCTCGCCTCAAAAATCTAAGATTTTCCAAATAGATCCACCCCAAGAAAAGGGTATAAAAACCCGTGTTCTGGTCGCTCCGGCGCATTCATTTTTCCTAACAGTTTTCGCCATCTTTCTTCGGGAGATCTTCTCAAATAGTTTGGCCCGCGAATCGGAGGATAATCTCCTCTTAGAGTAAAAATTAGTCGCAAGTCGTTGCATGAAGTGAACCTTAGCCACGACCTAGTGGTACATCTCCAAAAAGAGTCCATCTCTCAAAAATGACACCATCCCTCAGCAGGACGGCCACTTTACAGATTATCGGAGAGCTACTTGAGTTCAACTTTCGATTGCACAGACTATCTTTTCTCTCTGTAACGAGTAGGTCGGTTCATTCCTTCTTTTTTTTATTATTTAATTTGTTCTCTTTTCCTCTCCCTTTCACCGTTACTTTGTTATTATTATTAATTGTCTTGTTTTCACTCTTTTCAATTCTTGTTGGCTCACATTCTCATATTTTAATTATCAGTGAGAATCGAAAATTTGGCGCGATCCGTCTCCGGAGATCGTCGGGGTCGTTCTCGAGTGGATGTCTCCATTTACACGCTATCTTTGGCCACTCTTCTCTCTCCGTATTTTAGATACGCGGCAAAAGTTTCCGCAAGACCCACTAGAAATAGGCAGATTCAGTTACCTTTTATCTTGCATATGACACGAACCACATACACGCAAACAGGTCCACCGCCAGCATTGAAACCAATTCCTCAGGAAGCTCCTCAGCCTTTCCCCGTGTTCGATTTTCGATCACTTTCTCCTCCCAAGTCTATCTCTCCGATTCTCGAAGAGCTTCTGGAATACAGACCCCCTTCATCTGTTCGTCTTTATCCTCCTGCTGTAGAAGCTCTACAGGAGGAGTTCCCGGATAATCCAGATTTTGATAATACATCAGTCAACTCCGAAGCCACCACACTCGAATACATCGAGCCTCTTCCCTATCTTCCTCACCCATTATTCACCGGGTTTGATTTCCTAATTTTAGTCCTCTCTTCTGAAGAATGAAACCCACACACACACGCGCGCGCGCGCGCGCACGCATACGCACACGCACACACACAGGGTGGGGCATTTTAATCGCCCCAGGCGGATATCTCGAAAACTAATTGTAAGAGAGATATAGAAAAATGTTTCATACAAAAGTTGTATGGTTTGGAGGGGGACATAGGATGGTACTATTGATTTGATCTTGGGCGGCATCGTTAAGGTTAAATTAAGGTGACCTAAATTTTCTTAAACGGGAACCCTAATTTTTTATTACATATTCTTGTAGCTGGCGACAAGACGTTTTCGAAACACTGTCACAAACCCTTTTTAGTTGATATCTTTCTGAATTATGGGTCTTTAAAATTTAAGTACCGCCGGCATTAGTATTACCCAAGATGTACCGCGTGGAGGTCGCACGGTCGGATTTACATCCTTCGGGGTGCTTGATTAAAATGAGTCCTCTTGCCTCTCATTTGTGTGTGTGTGTGTGTGTGCGTGTGTAGCGCACAGTCAGAGATAAGGACCCCCGTGGTTCGTCACTCTCACAGTATTTAGCTACTCCAAATCCTCTCTGCTGTCTGTCTGTCTGTCTGTCTGTGTGTGTGGGGGGAGAGAGGTAAGTAAGTAGATGCTTCAAATTCACATTATTATTTTTTCATAATAATTGTTTAAATGTGCCTCCATTTTCATCGATACACAACTGAATTCGCCTTCTAAATGTTGCTATTGTTTCTCTTAATACTTCAGTTAAAATGTTTCTGCATGCTGTTCTTATGCGATGTCTTAGATCTTCAGGCGTCGTGGATACTGTTTTGTAAACAGTATTTTTGAGGTAGCTTCATAGATAAAAATCAGGAGATGTTAGGTCAGGTGACCTGGGAGGCGACGAAACCATTTCGTCCAATCCAACGTTGTGCATACCTGTCATTTAAGAAATTAGTTACAATGCGTGCGTTATGTACACCCGCACTATCCTGCTGTATCCACATATTCTGGACTGTGTTAATATTAATATTTTCCAACATTTCTGGCAATTGATTGATTTTGTAAAAGATTCAAATACTCAGTTCCGTTACATTGCCTTCAAAGAAGTATGGTCTCACAATGTGACCGTCTAGGATGCCACACCATATATTTACCTTCCAGCGATGTTGATTATCAACATGACGAACCCAATGCGGATTTGTTTGCAAATAATAATGGCAGTTGTGTCGGTTTAATTCTCCCGTATTCTGGAAAGTAACCTCGTCACAAAACATAACACGGTTAAAGAATGTGGGATCGAGTGCTACTTGCCCCTGTGCCCATCTGCAAAACTTAACACGAAGTCTTTTATCATTATCAGAAAATGCTTGATGAAGTGATATGTGGTACGGATGGTAGGAATTTGCTTTTAAAATACGTCGAACTGTTTTTTCTGATATGTTTACTTCACGACTAATCTGTCGTTGGTTGATATCCGAATCTATTTCCACCACTCCAAGCACCGTAACATTTATCACGTCATCATTATCCAAGCGTTTTTTTGATCGTTGTCTCTGCATCTGTCCAGCTCGTGCTCTATGTACAGCACGCAATATTACTTTATGATCGGGATGACGCTGATCCGGATACTGGTCACGATACTGGCGAGCTGCCTCTCTTGCATTACCACCAGTATTACCGAAAATCATTATCATGTCTACTATTTCGGTTGATGAATAATCTGCCATCTTCAACTGGATAAGATTTAATTGGTCCAATTGAAATAAAATTGATGGATCGGTTAATCGACACAATATGAGGTATTGGGCTGATCAAAATCTTCACTGGATGAGAGATTGCCACACGCAGTATCCTGAGAAGGTAAATGTTTGGGCCGGAATATTGTGTAATCGTATCATAGGACTATTTTTTATTGACGGTAATGTAACAGCGGAAAATTATTTAAATTTGTTGAGAAACCGAATAATACTAAGTATTCAAAATATTGTTGGAGATACTTTTGAAAATGTTTGGTATCAACATGATGGGGCTCCAGCTCATTTCGCATTACGTGTACGCA